TTAACTGACACAAGATTTTAACAGTATTCATTAGAAAATAATCAAAAAGTCAGTAGTAGGCTTAATCTTTCAAATTTGACAGTTGGCCAAATAAATTTTACTTCACTTCTCTCCCCAGGTAGTTTTTAAATAAGCGAATATTGTATTAAGTAAAAAACACAAATGAATAATAAAAATAATAATTGATATTTTTTCAATAACAATCACAAGCAGTTGTTGAAATAAAATAATTTTATTACTAAAACAAATTTGAAAGATAAATTCATTGCCTACTACAGACTTTTCAGTTAATACGGTTTTTCTTGAAAACCATAAATAAAGTTTTTTTAAATTTAACAAGTGTAAAACAAAATTTAAAATTAAATTCTGCTCTAAATTAATATTATCATTTTTCAATTTGGTCGATGAAAAAAAAGTTCGGTACAATTTTAGGGGTGTGTCATCCCCAACGAACACCTTGTAGTGCTTCAATTAAGATTAAATCATAGTCAAAGAAGACCAGTAATAAACCTAAATTATGTACCAAATTTGGTTCTTCTGCGGTAGTGTTGCAGAGATATTATTTTTTTTCGGAATTTAGGGCCCCGCTTTGGGGGTTAATAACTCCTCAGGGATGCATCTTTGTATATAGGTAAGTTTGGTTAAATTACAATATTTTGTCATTTCTTATGCGGGACACACTGTATATGAAATATTTTAATATAACACCTATATAGGAAATTGTCCTTAAATTTGACAAAGGAAAACATTGTTTATGAAGAACTAAAATATGTCATCTTAACTCAAAATACGTTCTTTCGTTTTCGACAGTTCGGCACAAAAATATACATTGTTCATTCTTCAAAATAGCAAGACCTAAACGAACTTCACAATTCTTTTTTAATATGTAAATATTAACGCAACTTCTTTATTTGTTTATATTAATTTTATAGAAGGAAGTGTTCATTTTCTCTTTGTTTACAAGCACTGGGTCATTTTTTCGAAATAATCAATAAAAGACAAACTATATATTTCCATTCATAACAATAAAATAAAGTATTTATCTCACAACAATGAAAATAAAACAATACACATATCTAATTATCTGCTAATAATAACGCTTGTCTTTGTTATTAACCATTTAAAAAAAGCAACGCTGATAGTGAAACAAAACATATCAAAGGAAATGGTACAGGCGGTCATCACAACAGCCATGCGCATATTTAATTGTTTTATTTTGTAATTACATGTGTAATTATTAATTTTTTATTTAAAGTTTAAATGGATTGTTCGCAGATGATTCAGCGGTACGAGTTGCTGGGAATAATTTTAATTGTGTGCTAAATAGCTACCATTGGCCATTTTAAATAGAATGATGCTATAAATCACCAAAGTCATTGAAATGGATGTTTTAAAGTTAATTAAAATGTGTCATTGTTATAACATCGATTATTAGTCATAATTTGCCGATATTACAGTAGTTATTCAATGGCAAAATAAACAATACACACACACATAAAATTCACACATTCTTTTTTTCTTTTGAATTTTGTGTGTGAAAAAAATCAGTAGAATGAAAGTGATTTAGATTATTTGTGACATATTGCATATTTTGTCTAATCAAATATGAAGATATTTGACGTAATTTGATTAAACTTAGTCTAATTGAAAGCAAATATTAATATACAGGGTGATTCAAAAAACCGCTGACAGACTTCTAGGGTAAGTAATACCTGAAAAATTAAGACGAAAAGTTTTAATAAACATAGGGTCGCAAATGCCTCCTTAACGAGATACAAGGCGTTAAAGTTTCTGTAAAATTAAAGCGTAAAAATGACAAAAAGAAGCTTATAATCTAGTTTGCTTAACTCACTTGTACACATTGACATTAGTGACAGGCGATGTTTAATTTTATTTTGAATAGCACAAGCCTACTATGCGAAACTAAAATGAATGAAAATAAAATTGGATTTACAAATTTTCTACAAAGGTGTTTCTCTTAAAAATGGTTGCTTTAATCCAAATTTTGTAAGAGACCAATTCGATAGACAATTGAACAGTTTACACGAAAATAGTGCCCGTTCGACAAAATTAGCAGTGGCGTAGAAAATATTTAAAAAAAAGGGTCACGTTGACCCCGTCTCTACGACACTGCTGCTCATAAAATTTTGAGCAGTACATCAAACATTGGTCTTAAGGTGCTAACTACGCATAGCAAATTTGAAATAGATATGTTCAGGCATTTTGGAATTACTGCAGACAATGTTTAATTTTACAGAAACTTTGACGCCCTGTATCTCGTTAAGGAGGCATTTGCGACCCTATGTTTATTAAAACTTTTCGTCTTAATTTTTTATGTATTATCTACCCTAGAAGTCTGCCAGCGGTTTTTTGAATCGCCCTGTATAAATCTGTCACCCATGGTGAAAAGGTTCTTCCATTTTTAAGTTATTTATTAAATTTAAAATAATGTTATACAGTTTCATAAATATATTAAGACATTTTTTGTTAGAACGCAAAGTCCAAAAAAATAATTTCCTAAAAATTTTTATTTATGTCAGGAATAGTTAGGAAGCACAATTCCCAAAATAATTTAAAATTTCTACGCCAATGATTTTTTTAGGACAGTGTTTTATAATTATATCAACAAAAAATATATATTTTTATGGAATGAGATATTTTAACTTTATATATTGTAGCTTTGTAATAATTGATTTATATTTAAATCTACAGCTTCTTAAAAACCACTTCTTTCTTCCAAATAATGTGGATAACTCTCTTAGAAATAAATTAGGAATTATTATCTGCACTTATTTAATTTCCAAAATATGCAGAGGCGTCGAAATTCTAGGGTTCTTAATGACAGTGACTACTAGAATTTGCAGCACTGATTGACTTTGTTACCAATTCAGTAATCTTTTGCGGTTTATCGATTTTATCATTAGACTAAGTTCCATCACCCAAATTCAAATATGTATCTTCAAAGTTATGCTTCAAAACCTTTAATTTTTGTTTCTGGAAAACCAGTGCAGTGGCTTTAGATCATAGAACGACTTCCTAAAGTAGTGACAAAGAATTAGAAAATACCGTCGTTATCAAAAAAATCTGAACTGAAAAATTTTAATTTTGTAACCAACCAAAAAAATACAGGGTGTCCCGAAATTCGTGCAACAAAATTTGGTCACAGATTCTTAAGACAAATTTAGGGGACCCGTATTTTTTATTTTTGCAAGTGGCCCCCTCTTTCGGAGTTACAGCCCCCTGAAGTCCGCCCCTAAGAATAATCTTTATAAACTCTGTTGTACGAGAATCACTAAATTTGGTACACAGGAGTTTTATGACATGTGGAATCTGATGGTGCTACGTTTTTTGGCGGGGAATCCCCTTAAGACAATTTTTCGTGGGCCCCTTGTATTTGGAGCCTAAAAAAATTTGTCGCATAGATATTTAAATTTCTTAAAAATTAGCAGTCCATTATAAAGCCATTAAATTTAGAAACTTTTTTTCTCTTTATACTTTTTCATAAAACGCAATGTTTTCGATAAAAATGTCAAAATGTGATCGAATGCATATCGTGATTTGCTATTTTCCTCAAAAACATTGCGTTTTACGAAACAAATATCAAGAGATAAAAAAGTGTCTAAATTCAATGGCTGTCTAGCTAACTAATAATTTAAAACAAAATCAAATTTGCGACCAAATTTTTCTGGTTCCAAAGACAAGGGTCCACGAAAAAGTGTCTTAAGGGGGTTTCTCGCCAAAAAGCGTAGCACTGTGAGATTCCACTTGTCATAAAACCCCTGTGTACCAAGTTTAGTAATTCTCGTACAACATGGTTTTGAGATATAAAAAAGACTTCTTAGGGGCAGATTTCGGGGGGCTGTAACTCCGAAAGAGGGGGCCAGTTGGCAAAAAGAAAAAATACGGGTCCCCTAAATTTGTCTGTGACCAAATTTTGTTGCATGAATTTCGGGACACCCTGTATATATAATTATGTACAAAAAATAAATTTTCGAATTACGCCCTAATGGAGATATTTAGTGATATGCGGTTGGCAACATTGCGTTCTGCATCCTTCCTCTGTAACTACATGTTTTTGGATTTTTGATATCTCATTTAATTTTCGTGATAGTGACGATTTTTGAAATGTGCGATTTTCTAGAACAATGATGGAACGTAAAAATTTGCATGAAACGAAAACTTTTCAGCTTTTGTAACAAGCTTACATAGATGATGTTCAGTGATGAAAGAACGTCGTTTTCAGACTATTGATGACATCAAAGCAAGTTCGTCACAGACTTTAAAGGCAATTCCAAATAAAGCTATCCAGAACTTAAAGGCCATTTCAAATGGAGCTTTCCAGGACTGCTTCGAGAAATGGGAACACCGCTGAAAAATCTGTTTTGAATAGGGGAAGGGAGTACTTTTAAGGACGAGAAGTACCAATAATGTATAAAACTAATTAATAAAGTTTTAAAAAATAAAGTTCGATTATTTTCTAAACGGACCTCGTATTAAAGACGAAAAATGTCATATTACAATGTTATAATTCAATCTATCAGTCATATGTCATACCTTTAAATGTTTTAGTACTTTATGCCTGCTTGCACCTACAGATTAGTAAGGTCACTTTGTGTTAGTATAGATACATCTGTCAGCAGTATGTTAAAAATATGACATACAATATAAACTTTATAGGTTATATGTCACCAGTACTCCGACCCTCCTAATGAATGATCTTAGGCTAATTACTAGATATTGGAGTACCAGTTAAGGCATATAGCCCGTGGGTAGCTGTTTCTTATAATATAGTCAGTTAAAAAGTTATTATACTCGCGTCCAGTCCGAGTGTATTATCTTGATTTTTTACTATGTAGTCCGCCCCTGGGCTACCCACCGTGCACCATTTAAAGAATTCGAACAAAAAATGTCCGTGCCTCCCGCTCTCGCCCGTTGTGTGCGGTGCCCTTCAATTCATTCGTTTCTGGTGCACCACGCCGTGCGGACGGACGAGCGCTAGGCTTACGCTTTGGCATATCGGTGTCAATTACAATACGTAAGTACACTTGAATATTATAATATTTATTGTTGTTTAGAGTTTTGTCCAAAATGGGCAAGTCAAAGAAGAGAAATAGGTCCCACAGCAGATCGTCCGAAAGGCGAATATTAAAGAAAGAAAACAGGGACCTGCGGAAAAGATTAGAGAGTCTGGAACGAGACAGGGCAAAAAGACACTTATCGGTGTCTAATAGACATTCTCGTTCGCCGAGATCCGCTATCATTAGTCGTCGTTCACGATCCCGTCACCGAGAAGGTCGTTCCCGGAGTGAAACGAATTCTTATAGGGATCTATCGGAGTCGAAAAATTCATCTAATTCCCGTCAACGTGAAGGTCGTTCTCGGAGTAGAATGACTTCTTGCAGGGATCCATCACAATCAAGGTATTCTTCTAAATCTCGTCAGCGTGAAGGTCATTCTCCCAGTGAGATGAGTTCACGTAGAGACTATAGAAATTATGAGCGCCCACAGCAAGAAAGTCGCAGCCCTAGTGTCGCAATTTCACTGTACAGCAGAGTAGATTCAGGCATCGGTCGTGGGCCGTGTGCCACGGTAGACACCGAAATTTTCAATGCTAGCGAGCATTTTCAGGGCGGCGCGCTGTCAGAGGGAACAGGGCCGGCTCAAGAAGACATTTCGGCAACTGTTAAAATAGACGACTCACCCTCCTTGATACTGATGGATGATAGTGGACTGTCCGAGGAAACTAGAAATATTCTAGGACCGGACCCTTCGAAATTAGAAAAAACCAATTTTAAAATACACGCAGCTATAGACGCAATATGGTCCCACATTTTGGCGTTTGGCATCCCAAAAGATGAGGCGGATCAGCTTTTCAAAAAATACGACCTACCCGAAAATTGTAAATTAATGTCGCCTCCTAAAATAAATCCCGAAATTGGGGTCAATATGAACGCATTATATGCGACAAGGGATGAAACCCACTTAAATTACCAGAAGCAACTGGGAAAAATTCTGGCCTCACTTGGAGGATCAATGAACAAAATCCTTGAAGAGGAGGCTAATATTCCTAAACAGATAAGAGGAAAAATCCTTGCTAACATGGCAGATGCAGGACGCATGCTATGCAGTTTATTTAACGATATATCTCTTAAGAGGCGTCAACTCATTTCCCCATTACTAAACAAACAAACAAAAATCTTAGTGGAAAAATTTCCACCCGGGGAATATTTATTTGGATCCGAATTAGGTGAAAAAATTCACGCCATGAAATTAATGGAGAAGGTAGGTAAAGACATTCGGCCTGCACAACCTACACAACCTGCTTACTTTCGTCCCAATGCCCAGGCTAGCACTTCGGCAAGTGTTCAGAAAAAAGGGAGGGGGACAGATAAACCTCAAGCCAGCGGGCAATTAAACAGGAAACGCCCGACCCATCCGAGGAGGGAGATGAGGTCTCAAAGAGGGCGACCTTCACACTCACAGAGACAACCTATACACAGGAGACATTAAAGGTAAGTGAATCTAACAATTTTTCAGGTCGATTATGCCTTTTCATCAATTCTTGGAAAAAAGTGACACCAAACCCTACAGTGCTGTCATGGATTGAGGGATACAAAATCCCGTTCTGGAGGTTACCTCCTTACTCAAACTACACTCAAAAAAGTAGGTTATCTATTAAAGAAGAGTCTCTAATGGAAATAGCCATTCTAGAGCTCTTAAAATTAAAAGCAATTGTGAAATGTAGACCGTGTGACCAACAATTCATTTCACCAATATTTTTAGCGGACAAGTCCAACGGGAAGAAAAGATTTATCCTTAACCTCAAAAAACTGAATAACTATGTAGTGGCCCCCCATTTCAAAATGGAGGACCACAGAACGGCGATGAAATTAATTCGCCGAAACCTCTTTTTAACATCAGTAGATTTGAAAGATGCTTATTTTGCAATTCCAATTCACAAAAAACATCGTAAATATTTAAGGTTTTACTTTAAGAATGATATATACGAGTTCACATGTGTTCCATTTGGACTTTCCTCGGCACCCTATTGTTTCACGAAATTGATGAAACCAATCACTACGTGGTTACGGGAAAGAGGTATACTGTGTGTCAATTACCTGGATGACTTTTTAGTTTTAGGTGAAACGTATAAACAATGTGTAGAATATACAGGAACTCTTATCTGGCTGCTGGAATCTGTAGGTTTTACAATCAATAGGGAAAAAAGTTGCTTAACTCCAAGCAGGTCACAAAAATTCCTAGGTTTTGTTTTTGATACAACAGATATGACAATTACACTACCAATTGATAAGAAGGAAAATATAAAAAAGTGGGCTAAACGTCTTCAAATTATATCAGTTTGCACAATCAGAGAGTTTGCGAGTTTTATTGGTCTGCTGGTATCGGCCTGTCCAGCAGTTAGATATGGCTGGTTGTATACCAAGACATTGGAACGCGAAAAAATGTTAGCATTAACTGCAAACAAAAATAACTTTGACGCCCCAATGTCTATCTCCAACAACCTCCATGATGATATCAGGTGGTGGGAACAAAATATTATGTTATCATCTAATAATATTAGGAACGATAGTTTTGTTCTAAAAATCTATACGGACGCCTCTCTATCAGGATGGGGGGCTTACTGTAATAATGAAAGAACCCATGGGTTTTGGGATCAGTCAGATAAAAAATGCCATATAAATTATTTGGAATTACAGGCAGTTTTTTATGGACTAAAAAGTTTTGCAAAAACTCTCTCAGATTGTAATATACTGATAAGGTGTGATAATACCACTGCGATTTCATATATTAACCGCATGGGTAGCGTTAAATTCCCGAAACTAAATACACTAACGAGAGAGATCTGGCAGTGGTGCGAACGGAAAAACATTTGGTTATTCGCTTCATACATAAGTTCCGCGGATAACTATGAAGCCGATAAAGAATCACGCCAAACCAACTCGGAAACCGAGTGGTCTCTGTGCCAAGACGCATTCAAAATAATAGTGGGTAGTCTAGGCCAGCCTGAAGTGGACCTGTTTGCATCTTACTCTAACAATAAGTGTAAAAAATACGTGTCTTGGCGCAGAGATCCCGGATCCTTCGCAATTGACGCTTTCACTATAGACTGGAAACAGTATTATTTTTACGCGTTCCCTCCATTTAATATGATATTAAGAACCATACAAAAGATCATCCATGACAGAGCTGAAGGAATTTTGGTGGTACCATATTGGAACTCCCAACCTTGGTATCCGCTTTTTTCCAAACTGATTGTGAGCCGGAAAATATATTTGGAACCGCATCCTAATCTATTACTATCTCCTTCTAGGGAACCCCATCCATTGGCAGACCAACTTACCCTGGTGGCCGCCAAGTTATCTGGGAATCATTTATGAACAGAAACGTCCCAGCAGCAGTAATTGATACCATGATATCATCAATTTCAGAAGCCACCATTAAACAATACAATACCACCTACCGTCTTTGGTGGGATTTCTGTGTGGTTAACAATATTCCGGTATTTCAGGCAACCAACAATGATGTGCTCACATTCTTACAATACGTCTCAGAGAGACATAATTATAGGTATGGAGCCCTCAACGCCCACAGATCGGCTCTCAGTCTCATATTACCCAATAACCTCGGAACTGACCCTATGGTAAAGAGATATATGAAAGGCTTATCTAGGCTGAAACCACCTAGGCCAAGATATACAAACACATGGGATCCACAAACGGTTCTTTCATATTTGGAATCTTTACCTAGAGATTTAAACTTACTGCAAAGTTCTCAAAAGTTAAGCACTTTGCTGGCTCTCATCACAGGAGGAAGATTACAGACGATATCTTTAATTAGAATATCTAATATAACTGAGGATAATCAGGAGATTCAAATTAACATCACGGACCAAATCAAAACTTCGGCCATTAATAGGGAACAACCAACATTACATATCCCCTTCTTCACAGAAAAACCAAACCTTTGTGTCGCTACAACCCTGAAGAATTACATCGAGCTTACCAGTAAATTGAGAACCCCAGACCAAGATTTTATATTTTTAACAGTTCGGAAACCACATACTGTCGCTAATAAACAGACTATTAGCAGATGGGTAAAACAAACGCTTTCCGCAGCAGGAGTGGACACTTCAAAATTCAGACCACATTCTACTAGGCACGCTTCAACATCGGCGGCCCTGAGGCATGGGGTGTCGTTGGAAACAATTTGTAGAACAGCAGGATGGAATACTGCAACGACTTTTGGAAAATTCTACAATCGCCCCATCTCGGACAGAACTAGTTTTGCGAAGGCGATTCTTAATTTGTCGACTGTCTCAAACTAAAGTCCAAATCGACCAATTATTTTTATTTATGTTAAGATTTATTTTTATTTTGAAGACACGGTGTGTATCTAAAATTACATCCTTGTAAATTTGAGTTAACAATAAATATGATTTCTTTGTTCATTAATATGCAATGTTTCTGCTTTAAACAACTACATAGTAAAAAATCAAGATAATACACTCGGACTGGACGCGAGTATAATTATACGATCAAACGAACTTACCTTAAGTGAAGTTCGATCGTGATTATACGAAGCGTCCAGTCCGAGTGTATTATCTTCCCTCCCGCCCTAAAAGCCCAAATACGGTTTACATGCATATTAATGACTGAGTCCTTTGAAGAATGAATTGAAGGGCACCGCACACAACGGGCGAGAGCGGGAGGCACGGACATTTTTTGTTCGAATTCTTTAAATGGTGCACGGTGGGTAGCCCAGGGGCGGACTACATAGTAAAAAATCAAGATAATACACTCGGACTGGACGCTTCGTATAATCACGATCGAACTTCACTTAAGGTAAGTTCGTTTGATCGTATAATAATAGTCGATAATCTAATGTTAAATATAAAATATTTTCAGATTCTGACACTGGTATGCAAAAATTTCCTCTGATCCTGTTTTAATTTTTATTATGGTTCTACATCATAAAGAAGTAATTTATTACAAACTACCGCAAGTTTATGTAGCATGTCCGTATGGTTCAAGAAATAGTCATAATTCATTTTTAAATTGCCTCAAAAATATGCATTTTATTAATCAAGACTGTTGGGAAAGTTGTTCATTCCAATATGGGTGTTGTTAGTACCTCATTTGCTTACTTTTCTGCACTTATTTAAGTATTTTGTTATTTCAACCTACGTGTTAAAAGTTCATAAAAAAATAACAAATGTGCGATCAACAAGGTGTGGATAACTTGTTTTACATTTTATAATAGACATTATAATATAAAGTTTATTGATTCAGCAAAACAGTTATAATAGTATATTTTGCAAAAGGAGATGATAATCTCGTATTTTTTTTGTGAGAATATCAAATTGTCGACAGCATATTTAGTTGCTTCCACAGAACAGCATAGGTACACTCTATCCAAAATGGCCGTTGTCACAAAGAAAATGACATTCTGTCGAGTAAAATAATATCACTTTATTTTTGTGTTTTAATTAAAAATGGTTGTTTACGTGCCAACATCAGAAAGTGATATCTTACAGGGAGAACATGCAGGTTTCAGCCCTGAAAAGCATAAGAGCCCCTTAAACACACTTTCTGAGCGTGATGTGGCGCGTACAAAATTTTTGTGCTGCCGGCCAATAAATTTAACAATAATAGAATTACAGTAGAATATTTAAGTATTGACTATAAATTTGCATAAAAAATACAACCTACACTGTAAAAAATATTCACCCAAATTTCACTCAATTTAGATTGAGTGAAATTTTCACTTTATTAGTATTAGTACAACTGAGTGAAACTATTGCATCAGAAATGAGTGAGTTTTACTCAAATCCGAGTAATCCTCCACCATGGGAGATTTTTTGATATTTCAAGTCATTTTCGAGGTACAAGCAAAAATTGTTTTTTTTTTATATGTTGTGACGCCTCGTCCTGCCTCGCCTACTAAGCGGTCTACACAGAACCAGGGGGAATTTTTTGTATATTTCCAGCCATTCCCGAGTTACGAACAAAATCTGTTTTTTTTTCTCATACGTTGTGACGTCATAGCTCGATGACGAAGGCTAGAAAGGCCTCGCAATCTACCCCACGCTTCGCCTAATGGGACAATGGGAACAGACAAAGACAATGCATTTGGATTTGAAAAAGGGTGGGATCATTCAGTAATGAGGACATTTACTCTGATTTAGGTATAAGTACACCAAATACGAGTTTACGTGAAGAATTTATTTAAGGAGTACCTATATTTGAGTGAAAGTATTCAGTTTTAGTTTAAATTTAATCACAAATGAGTAAAATGATCAAAATGCCGAATATTAAGTGAACATGTACTCAATAATTTCACTCAGTGGATTCACTCCGAACCTTTATATTATTGCTTTCACTCACACCGATTTTCTTACAGTGTATTTGTCATTAATATTTATGTTAAAAGTGCAGTTATTCCAAATACAGTTATTAAATATTTATGTTCCGATCAATTTATATATCACAACACATGTTATTAACAATATTTGGTTCGTTATTGGAAGCTTTATGTTTGTTTTATTTATTTTCTACATTAAGAATTTGATTTATTGCGTTTACTTTATTCTGATCAAATATCGATATAATCTTCACCACGGTAGATTCCCATCCCCTGTGACGTTTCAAACATTTCACCTCCGTTTATCAGTAACGTGAAGTACTACGGTAACAGTGACCGATAAATTCTGCTGGGTAGGGTAATTTTAGACATGCTAATTTGTAAGGAACATTTCCTATAGAATACATTCCAGTAGGTTGAGTAGTACATTTATTATTTGTAAACGATATGAATAATCTGCGATGATTTTTTGGACCTAGGGCTAAATACATTCTATATAATTTTTAATTAAATTTATCTACGGCAAATATTCTCTGTGTATCTGTTTTTGTTTATGTTTATGTTTATTATTAACATATCATTCTTATCTTCCACATCATCTAGGTTATTTTTATTAATTCGTCACAGCGACATGCGTCGCCCATGTCAATTACTAACTTGTCAAAATTCTTAATACAACCACTAACAATTATCATAGCAACATAATCATGATTCATCTTGGCTCTTGGCTGCTTTAATAGACTCGGCTGCGCCTCGTCTATTAAATACCAGCCTCGGCATTAAATCTTATACTTTACTACCTAGTTAAACAAATAACTATTACTGAGCTCTTCTGTTACCTTACGGAGCTCTCTTCTCTATGATCTATATCAGCAACGACACATATTTGGTTTAGGAAAGAAAAAAAGCCACTTTGAAGAAATTATTTGTAAGTTACTGATTTTTTTGTGTAGATATCTTAGCTAAAAAGTATTTTTTCATTTTTGAATCTCTGGGCAGGATGTAGCACATTTATCTTAATTACCCACTTCTCATAGGTATATTTGATTCAACAGTTTGAAAATAACTACCTATCTGGTTTTATTAAATAAGTATTTTCAAAAAATAAACTGGAATATCAAATTACTTATTTTATCTCTAAATTATGTTTACTTATCTTTCAAGTTCTTTTTCCTACGTGATACCATTAAATCAATGAATGCTCGAAATTTAAATACGCAAGTATGCATGATCCAGATAGGAGTATTTCTAACACAAGATAAAAACCCTATGAGATCTATTTTAAAAAATGAGTCACAATGATTTCCAGTTCATTTATCATGTCCTAATAATGTGTAAATAGATGAAATCTTATAACGCACACATTTTTTAAGCAAACGATATGTGGAAATAATAAAAGAGGGCAAATATTACTGTTGCAATAGAAAACATTTAAATACATTATTATAATATGCCCAAGATAGCAATCTCGCGGTGGCAAATTTATAATTCTGTAACACGATTTCATAAGTAAAACAATACCGAGATAAATCTTTTCACAAGCTCTACTAAAATTTAAAAAACATATATTTACTTCCTCTAAAAATAAAAGGGGAAGGTTACAATTTTGATAAATGAAATATATCTCAAACTGAAGCTAACGCATTTAAATAAATAATGATTTTGATCTAGTTTAAGATCAGTAAAATCAAAATGATTCATAGCTTACTTATAGAAAGCAACTATTGAAATGTAACAATATTCTAAATCAGTATTTTACTTTGAAAATCCCAGTGTTAAATTTTACGCACATATAAAACACTGATATGTATTCATTCATGAATCTAATAAACATTTTGCCCAAAAATGGTTAAAAAGATAACTCCTTTAACATATATTTGGCATTACAATTGTCAATTAGTTATACAAGGTCTGTTTAGAAAATAACCGAACTTTATTTTTTTAAATTTATTATTCATTTTATACACTATTGGTGCTTGTCTCCTTCAAAGTATTCCCCTCCCCGATTCACACAATTTTCGCAGCAGTGTTTCCATTTCGCGAAGCAGTTTTAGATAGCTTCATTTGAAATGGCCTTGAAGTCTGTGATGAATTTATTTTGATGTCATCAACAGTCTGAAAAGAGCAATAAAGGATTTTTTTAGGATTTTCAGTTACTATTAGTATAAAATGATATTTAACGATTACCTTCCTGTGGTTGTTAATTTTAGTTGTAATGTTATTCACATCTCACGATCCAGAGATTTACATCCAATATATTATTCGCTGCATGTCATTTAATGAGCAGGTTCAATGGCAAACAAGTGTTTTTGTCTTTCAATTATGCTGAATTTAATTTAAATCGTCACTTTATCATCACTGAAAACAAAACAGTTACGTTTATGTGAGATACTGACATTATATTGTGAAATAATTCGTTCGCTACGGAAATCAAAAGAGGTCTCGATCTAAATATTCATTAATGAACTACACATCTGTTTAAGGGAGATTAATTTACACATGGAATTTGCTTGGAAAAAGCAACATCCGTTTATCTGCTACCGTACAGACGTCACTAGTCACCACTAAATCATGTCTAAAAGCACATACAGCGTATCAGAAACACAACTAATACAAATAATCATGTTATTCATTTCAAAAAGATAACATCTATTTGACACTGCACTTCCAATAATTAGGGAATAATTAGTAGTGCCTATATAGATAAATGTTTAGCATTATTATTTCAGCATCGTTATTATCGTTAGTAATAAACTAATGCAAATAATTAAAAGGTAAAAGATTTCCGTGAATTTTGACAGACTGTATTTAGGTAAAAAATGGTCGTATCAGGAATTAAAAGAAAAGCATTTTGAAGCCCAAAGATTCTAATTTTTAGATCTTTCGGTCGAATTTTTTTAGGAGCTACGGTTATCATGCAATTCTAATAGCCCGACAAAAAATTTTGCGGTAAAAATGCGAAAA